CTATCCTATTTGATTTCTTCCTTTTTCACCTTTTTGCCGGTTGTTGATCCGACTTTAAAGTTTTAATCTGACACCAATGCAAGGCACGCCCATATCTCCTGTTTTCAAACATCAAGGCCAAGGGATTGCATGGGAAAGCAAGGTATCTTCATACTTTTGAAAGCAAGGCTTTGGTTCTATAGGTCCACGCCATTAATTATGCCACCCTAAACCCTTGTACAGACTAAAGCAATGGGTTTGTTTAAAAAATTAAAATGTCGTCTCCCAACCAAGGAAACAGAGCCAGAATACCTCCGTTGCCTGGACATTGACTTTTTTGAGTCCTATAATTGGCCACAGACCAATGACACAACTGCCGTCTTGCTTGTTTCTATCCATGTCTAACTCCTTCCACGTATCAAACAATAAGTTTGACACGAGAAAATCATTTTCTCATCCTTTCCGCCTAACAATCATGGGGATGTGGAGGACGTTGTAAACCGTTTCGGGATGTGCTTGGCAGAGTCATTCTTTGATAAAGAATAATTCTAATAAATTAAAAACCTTGGGCCATCTAAGTCAAATAAACCTGTATATTTTATCAGTATATCTGTTAGAGCGGTTCAAATTCTATACATTATGCTATTTGCTCAGATAAATAATACTACACTTTTTCTATTGACTTGTAGAATAAAAGTTTTCAACCATTTTTCTATTCTATCTTGAAGTTACCCTGTTTTTGGGAAGTCAAGTTTACATAGAAATTCCGGTAGAGAACAGATTTTCGACTGCCTACATTGAACAAGGTGGTGGTGGGATTGATGATAGTGCTGCCAAGGACAATGAGGGCATGAAGCATATGATTGAACAACTGTTAAACAAAATTATCCAAAATTTCTTTCAATCATCCAAAAGATAGAGAAAGTGTCAGAGAGAGAGAGAGAGAGGGAGAGAGAAAACATGGGAATTATTCCGAGAGTTGAAGCTATAGGAATCATGTCCAACATTTCTCCAATATACGACGCTGAAACTTCGAGACATCATGTCATATATGCTTGAGGTGTCACGCCAGCTCTTTGCTTTCTGTTCCATGAATTTTCAGTACTCTTACACCAAGCCGAACACAGAATATATTCGACCTAATTATCTATACCTGAAGACACGCAGACATTTTGGATAGGTTGAATATGTTGTAGAAAAACAAGAGCCACTTAATTCCATGGTTCCAAGTATATGAACTTCACATCACATTAAATGTTAAAATATTTTTGGATGATATAATAAGACATGATTCGTGATTATCAGCAGCAAGTACTGTTACAGGGTTGCTTTCATAACCCACGTGCTGGGCACTAGCCAAACTCAAAGTCATTTTAATTTTGTGGCAGAACCTGCCCTAGATAGGGATAGATCAAAGTTGTGGACAGAGCGGTTAAAGCCACAAGCTTTTTTTCTTGCAAGGTAGCTCTAAAAACAGCTTCTCCATGGAAAGTATCGCGATAAAGAGTACTTTGGATAGTTTTTAAGTGGGGAAGTGCTTTTGTCATCAACAAGGCTCCTAGGTGTAAGGGATTTTGGTTGGAGAACAAAGATGCTCTCATGAGACATGAACCGGCTTTTGGCTTTCCTTCAGTCATGTTTGCCGAGGCAATGTTGAGTGGGTCGCCACTCATCAAACCCTACTTGCTAATGATCCCGTCACCTTTTCTTTTCCTTTATTTATTTATTTTTATTAAAGGCAGGCCATACTGATTGATTAATATTAGTTCTTTCAAAAAATCTATCCGAACCTGAATTCGATATATTTCAAATTAAATCTGAAACTCTAAATGTTGATGGTGTAATTTCCATTGAAAAACTAGAAGAATCATTGAATGTAAAAAGTAGTGATTAAACACAAGGGATGTGATGTCTGGTGGAACAAACAATAAGACTCACACGGGGTGCAATCAAACGTAACAGATTATCCCAAAAGAACAGAAGAAGCGATATTACAGCAAAGAATTAATAGGAGGACCGACAACGTGGAGAAATGGCTTAATGCTAGAGGAGGAAAAAAGATGGCCTGATTAGGGTGCGTGTGCAAGGAAAGGTGAGGTTGTGGTCACAAAGCCTTTCCCTTGTGTCTTTTGTAGATGCTTTGCCACTATATCTCCTCCAATCCGATCTTTTCAAGTTTCCCTCATTGTTTTTATGTCTCTATGTTGTAGTGAGCGTAAGAAAAACGCATTACTTTGATTTGTTTTTTGCCAAAAAGGACGACCAAAAGTAAATATTCATGTCAAAAAGTCATTAAGAAGGTAGGACCCAAACACACCCTATCTCTTTCCTTGTCTATCTCTGCAGTCTCGTTTTCTCCCACAGGTGCCCCATGCTGGACCGATTTTCTTTTTCTTTGAACCATACAGCTCGGTGGAGCTTTGGTTCCACAAAAACTCTTACATGGACAACTTGGGTGGCTTTCCAAATCAGGGGTTTTTCTTCTCTCTTCTATATCTCCTGTTCTTTTCCCTATACTTCCCTTATCCTGTCTTTCACAATTTGTTGTGATTTCATTAAGGTCAACCATGCATTTTATTGCTTGAGTCCTTTTCATGGATGTCTTAACGTTTTGTTACTGGAAAGATATAATAGTTAGAGACAGTTTTGTTCCATCTACTATTACTTTCTCTCTCGTCGTCGATCCTCTTTATCATTCCAAAAATTTCCAGTCTTTTGCTTAGTCCTCGCTTTCCCGACCCCACTCTGCTGTCAAGTGTCAACTAGCACATCATGACAAAAGTTCGAGAGTGACCCCCAAAAACCATCTTTATACAAATTGCTACCCATTGCTAGAAAGCTGATAGCAGGAAAAGAAATTCCATCTTGTTGTCTCGAATTCTCAGTTGTTCATTGTACTAGATGTATGCCAATTTGCAAGCGATAGTGGACAGGAGAGATAATTGCAATCGCCACGTTCAAAAATGTATGGTAATTACCTATTCTAAGACAAGTCTAATACGTACACTGTCCTTCAGATACTCATCTGCTCAACGTAAAAACTTTGATGGATAGATTACATCAAACAAAATGAAGCATATATTTGTGGAAACATAAATTTAAGGGGAGAAGTCACAAAGAGATGTTATCCTTTGACGGTGAGCTCTTATTTTCTGGGGAGAAAGAAAAGGCGAAGAGACCTCTTTATATCAGTTTCCTTTCGGTTGTGGGATAAGAAGAGGCTTTGTTCTGTTCTGCCCACATGTGATAAAACATATATTATGACATTAGAGATATATCAAAACTGCTTTCGGTTGATGATCAACAATCTGTGGAGATTTTTCACAAATTCTTTCCAAAAGTGATTCAGGGCTGCTTCGACAAGTTCTTAGTTTGCAATGGAAATGTTCTTTTTCAGTCGAGGTAAAGGCATGGAAACTGCATGGAAGTCATAGATTGACAGGAACTCGTAGCCAGATTTGGTATTTACACACAGAACAAGAACAACTTCTTATGAATTACTGATATCAGTAGTGCTTTCTTAGAAAACTAGAGATGGAAACTGCAGCAGTTTTGAAATTGCAACCTTCCCAAACCCATTAATGAGAACAATTCAACCACCCAGCCAAAAGTGTATTTATCTGATGTGAAGGCATATAAATTCTATCATGTCAGTGCAATTTGATCAAGCAAATTAATCACCAGGAAACATCAAATGGGAGTAACTTATCTCATTCCCCATCCAACCCTTGTTGCTATTATGATGTTTATGTTTATCCTTTGGCCTTATTTGATGTCTAGAAACAAGAATCCGATTTATTTGAAATTAAGTTGATATGTCATCAATGTTAAATTTCTAGAATCCAATCAAATGAATTGTTCTCGAGTTGCATTTTCTGACAGAGGAATGCACATAATTTCTGGCAGAAATGAGTGAAAACTACTTTGTTCCAGTAAATCCAACACTGCAAAGTGCAAACTCTCAACCATTGGGGACGGCTGACTTGCAGCCCAACCCAATTAGATAGGTTGTGATTCAAACATTGGAATACCAACCAAGGCAAATGAAAACTAATATATCAGTTAACGTAGAAGTTAAACAAATATGAAAAAGAATATATCTAGTAACTCCAGAAACATGAATTCTTACCCAAATTCTATTTTCATGGCACATGTTTTCATATTAAAAATTCAGTTAGAAATCAACAAAAACATTACACTAGAGTAGTAGTTTGAGTTTCTGCTCACAGTCACAGTATTATGGGCCGAGGGGTGTTTTGACCCAAGATGACTCTTCACAGGAGTGGCCATTGCTCCTTGTTTTCGCCAATCTGGCCCAATGACTGTTAATCTTTTTTACTGGAGAGTGAGCCACAAGTAGGGCCCACTGGATCGCTACTGTATGCTCCGTTTTCTTCTCTATTTCTTGAATTCTGTCCCTGGCACGGAGCTCGGATAAGAGGTAGCCAGTTGGCGTTGACGTGAGCAACACTTCCAGCATCCCGTCCAAGTCCCGCTATGCCCTTATCAAAATTATAACTTAAAAGACAGGCAGTTACTTTTTTGTCGTGAAAGGATGAGATTGATCAGGATAACTTTCTCGTTCATGACCGGCGCAGTGCTGGGGGTCTACTTGGCTCAAAACTACAACGTCCCAATTATGAAAATCTTACACGTACCGGAATGTTGATAGCCAAGCACTATGAAGAAACGTACAGGAAGCCCAAGGAGAGAGGCGATAATCATTTATCCACATTGCTTGTTTCTGTTTCCCAGGTCTCATATCTTAGGTTCCAGCTTCCAACCCCAATAGTTCCCTCCTCCCCTTGTTTGATCGAGTCGATTTACGGTGATGTATACTACATTGTTGAATTGGTCTTGATTAATGAAAAATTGGGGAAGTATTTGTTGCCCATCAGAGAAGTTTCCAATTTGTTCACATTAGCTGTATCAACTCCGTTTCCACTTTTTGTTTAGAAGCAATCAACATATTCTCTAATCTGGCCTACAACTGAATAAGAAACAATTTAGCTTTCAAAGGATCCAAGAAAACTCGAGTTTCCGCACAATCTAATATATAGAGCTTCCTCTTCTAGGGTACTAAACTGTAATGTACATCGAGACAAGCCATAGACAAAGACATAGATACATAAAAACAAAATCAAAATGCTGCGTCTGGTTTCCCAACATTCATGCTTGCCAAAATTTAGTCAATGGTTAGGTATACTTCACTGCCAGTGCGAGAAGCTGAGTCACTTTCTTGCGAAAATGGAGTGTCAGGCAAAGAGCTGTTTAACTTGTGCAATGACCGCCACTCGTCCATGAATGCCATTTGATCCGGATTCAAGCCGGGAAGTGCTTTTTGATGGAGGAGCTTCAAAATGTTTTCAGTTTTCCCGAGAACATTAACTGCGTGTCGCACGCTCTCTTCCCTCTCCTCAATGGAGCTGGTCAAACACTTGATTGAGATGAACCGCTGTAAGTTAGTGAGGCACGCAGCCAGTATATCAGAGATCATGACAGTTATTGCTTCAAATAATCTTTCCCCCATCTGGTAGTTTCTGCTTTCATAGTTCAGCAAAATGGATTGGCTTATTCTGTACATGGAATTGGCAGCCAATACTTTGATGGGCCACTTTGAAGGGCTATCCGCTAGACACTGATCCACTTTACTCTTCTTGAACTCCATAAATGTGTTCTTTGCTGTATCAGAAAGTATTTTGAGTATTTCCTTTGGGCTTTTTCCTTGGAGAGACGGTTTACGGAGGTCCACATCTAGCCACCTGTGATACAGTTCAAATGCTAGCCAGACGACATCTGCTGCCTTCCTGATTCTTATCAAATTCCCTTGCATATCCAGGTCGTCTTCGATGTGTCTGACATACACCAAACCTTCGTTTACTCCAGCCATAAGATGCTTGATTGAGCTCCTATTGATGTTGGGGAGTGCAGCTGCAATGCTTGTCAATGTCACCACAGAGAGAGACCAACAATCTGGAGCTTCTTCAGCATCTAGAGAAGGTACTTCGAAACTGTCAAACTCAGTAAGCCCCTTAAATCCTTCAGAAGGCCTTGATAGTTGCAACAGTTCTATAAGATGTTTTGGTTGTCTCTTCTTTGCTCTCTGCCTCCAGTAATCAGTAGCATCTCGGTTGTCCTTCATCATTACCTCAACCAGCGAGTCTTCACCTTCAAGATGCAAAACAAAACGGCTGAGATCCAGCTTTGAGCTAGGGAGCGACTCTGACCCTGAATCATTTGTAATGCTCTTGGTGGGTGTGAATTTCATCAGCCAGTCTCTACAGTGGTCATAGCATAACAAAATCACGCTCATAGAGTAAATGGAGATGAGACGGATTATTTTGCTCATGAATACAATTCCAGCCTGAATTCCAATACACAAGTTCAGAAATTTAATTTTGGCATCATGGACAATTCTCCTGCTGTGTGGATTACTTATTGGTATATTTAACGGGCACTCTTTCATCTCCACTAATCTCTTAATCCAGTATTCTTCTAGTTTGTAATTTTTTCTGCAGGCCCATTTCCCGCCTCTTGTTGGACACCTGAAATTGATAGCAAGAAACCATCTCATTGCTGGGGCAATCGTACCCACTCCAACTGCAACAGCCTGTGTAAGAAGAATTAACTTGATTGACCACTTGTAGTCTGATTCCCCCTTGCAGAATCTAAATGATCCAGGCATCAGATAAAATCGAAGCATGGCTTCTGCTAAAGTTGCAGCACTCAATAGACATAATGCACCCGAGGCAGTACAAGTAACTGATCGGCCTACAACAAACTGGGGGCTGCAGGTATGAGCCATCATCCAATATCTCATTAGATCTTCCTTGAGTTTCTCTACTATTGTCTTGTCAGTTTCATTTGATTTTGAGCATTCTTTGAGAGCTATTTCATACTTCTTCTTGTATTTAAGTTCCAAATAATGCTTTATAGTTGGAACAGTTAAAGCTGAAAAACTTAAGACTACTAGTAAAACAAGCATGAGAAACATGATGATGGCATGCTCCATAACAAAAACATAGATTACACCAGTACCTAGTTGGATGCAGATATTGACAAGAACAGTAATGACAAGTATTCCCAAAGCTATCATGTTGGTGAATATTTCTTTATTTTCCATGGTTCCTAGAGAAGGCATAGAGTTACCCATGACTGTACAGATCAAGGCCGTGCTGCTGAGTTTTGCTAGCTGATCTTCACCACGAGGCATGGCAGTGTTCAAATCGACGGACAGTTTGACTGCCACTGTTATTATTGTCAAAGAGGTGGCGTTGATTGCTAAGAATTTGCAAGGGAACCAGAGTTTCCAATGGCGGAATCCATGGATAGCGTCTGCAGCCATAGCAATTGCACAGGCAAGAGATGCTGCTGCTATGTAGATGCCAATCCATGGCAGTGGTTCACTGAACTTGGCTTCATTTAGGACCCCGTCGATGCTGCAGCCAAGCTTGCCCATCTTCCTGTTTACCTTCTATGTTTCTTCTAATGGTTATCCTTTTGAGGATAGAGTTTTTTTAAAACCCCTCAATTGAATTCTCTGACCCAGCACACTTTCAGGTTTCAGGGTCAACTGATAAGAATGCTCAATTATTATTTATCAAAATATCATTTTTTATTTTTTATATTTATATAATTTTATTAAAAAAATGAAAACAACGTATATCCATCTTAATATTTTCTTCTTCAACCACTGCCACTTTTCATGTTTGCTTTATAAAGAAATTCAACCACCGTATTTTCTCCCTTTTGAATCTCCACACAGGAATACTCGTTTTGATGCTCTCTTTTCCCTTCTTTTCTATAAATTTATCTCCTTTCACGTTTCTTTGATGATTGTTTTTTTTCTTCAGGAATAAGAGAAAGAGGGAAGGATAGAGGGACACTGCACTGCTGCTAAGTGGTTACACTAAATAGTAGGTTGAGAAAGAAGTTTTACTTGTAAAGACCTTACTCAAAACACTAAATTGCTCATTCTCTCAAAACTCATATCATATTAGTATATGCTATTATCATCCATATTAATATACTACGTTAATGTTACGTAACATAAAATGATAAGTGACATTATAATTAATAACAATTAATCAATTATTAATTATAATAACTTAATTAAATGTTATAAAAAATAAAAACTTATTTAATTTTTTTAACAGTTAAAGAGATTTTTTTAAATATTATACTTTTTTAACTTTGATTACCATTTGATATACTAAATTAAATAAATTTCAATCATTTTAGTTAAGGTCGAGAATAAAAATTAAAAAACAATTTAAACCATAATGTTCAATTCAAATATTTGATTCGAATGTTAGACATATAAATTTGGTTTAGTTTGGTGTTTGATTCATAAGTTAGAAAATTGATATCATATGAATCAAAATTTTATTGTATTTTTATTATTTTTTATAATTTTTTTATATTCATAAATAAAAGTTAATTTTATTTATACATTTAAGTAAATAAGTTAAATTTAAAATTTTGAAAATTAGGTAAATAAAGAATAGAACTGATTTGATTTGATAAAATTTAGTTCAAGTAACTTTTAATTTTAAGATGTATTTAATTAGATTTCAATTTTTTTAAAAATAAAATAAAATACTGCACATTAATTAAAATTTTTATTCAACATCGGATCGAACCAAACTCTACGCAATCCTAATTCTAAGCTTTAAGGCTGCTAAGGGTATAGTCGATTTCGGGGCAAGCCCCTTTCATTGTCACGAATGAATCATGATCAAGTAGGAGAAGAATAATACAGTGACCCATGGAATGAGTCCAAGATTAGGTGGTGTATTATTATTGGGGATGGTCATTGTAAATTTAACAAATGAACTTTGTATTCATCTCCATATTTAAGGACTAGACTTGAGAGGGTGTGGTCCACACCTTTGCAGCCACTTAAGACCCAAAGATTTAATTGCTTGATGAATACTTTTATGTCATTTAGTGGAGTGAACTAATGATACTATTAGTCAATGGCCGATGTCCTCAATGATCTCAGTTAATTTATCTAGTAATTTAATTTAAATTTAATAACATTAAAAATGATATGTCAATACTTATAAACAAATTTTTTTATAATACAATAAAAAATATCTTCACGCTTTACTTAACTTGTGTGAATAATAAGATATAATATTTTTTTTTAAAATTATTTTAAAAAATTAAATAATTTTTTATTTTTTATTATATTCAATCAAACATATATATTTTTATTTTGAGTCGAACTTATTTTTTTGATTAGGATTTGATTAATTATAATTAATTAAAATATTATTTATTATTTATATTAATGTCACATTGATATGATTTTAATATAAATGGTAAAAATATCACGTAATTATATCATCATATTACATTATTATTTATTATTTATTATAACATATTAATATATTATGTTGACATTATCAAATAATAATAATATTTTAATTAATAATAATAAATTAATTATTAATTATAAAAATTTATTTTATTCAAAATAAATACATAAGATTTTGAATAACTGTAACAAAAAAATAAAAATTTATTAAAAAATTTTAAATAACTTTAGAGTTCTTTAAATATTATCCAATAAATAAATAAACTAGCTTGCGCCTAGTTTCAGTCCTCAAAACGCGGCAATCCCTGCCGTTTCAGTGCTATGCTTATTTAAACGCATCGTTTTAGTTTTCTCTGAGCTGCTGCTGGCCTGGCTATTCATGGAAGCTCTCCAATAATTCTTGCAAAAGGGGAAATGGGAACGAGGTCAAATTTCTACAAGAACCCTTCCCTCTCCTACAAGAAAGATTTAAGTCTCTCCTCTGCTCTCCAAAACCTGAAAGGTAAAAGTTTCTCTTCTTCCCTTTTCTGTTCTCTCGTTTTCTTCCGAACCAAACAGGTTCAAGAAATACACGAATTTTCCTTCCTCCAATTCGCAGCATATAATATCGCCACCGGAGATGCTCCTCCTTCGGTGGAACACGAAGCACAACCTCCAGTTGACGATAAAATTGGGTGCAAGAAACGCTCGAGAGAGCGAAAGCCATTCTCACCGCCTGATCGTAGGCGTGAAATCGAAGAGAACGATGGACCTATGTCTCATCAGGATTACATTCTAAAAAGACGGCAAGTATTTTAATCTACATTTATCTTTTTTAAGCCTAATGAGTTTTGATTCAGGTTGAAATTGTTATAAAAAGTTTTCTTTAATGTAAGCTTTTTGACTGAGCAGGAGGGAAGTTAGTTCATCTCATGGTTACGAGGAATTAAGTGTGGATATTTTGGTAATTTGGCGATTGTTTTTGGTGTAATTTACTAATTTTACAGGAACTTTACTTATGTTCTCATTTTATTTTTTTTTTCTGTTTGATGCAGCAAGCTTCCAGTTCGAGTGTAAATTTGGTAGACTATGGAAGTAAGTTAAATTCACGTTAATTTTGATAGCAAAAGCCAACATTAATAAAGATATTACTTTACATCGTATAAATTGTTGGTCCGGTTAATAAAGAATGGATTTTTAACATTGAATTTATAAAGTTTGATGAATTGTAACTTAATATTTTTCTGTGAATGTGTGCACAAATACTGAATATCATGTTCCTGAAACATCAGGTGATGGAAGTGCTTCTTCCGAATGTAAAGAAAGTCAGGATCCTCCAGATTCTGGTTTGTTTTTGTATCTTCTTTACTCAACCGTCAATATTTTACTTTAGATTATAAAATATGAACTGGCATTATGAATTGTCTGATTTGTGAAGAATGACCTTTTTTGTTTTTTATTTTCATTCTTTAATAGCTTACGATTGAGGAAGCAGTAAATTTGTATTACTGGCAGAAACGATATTTATCCTGTTTTTTACTATGTTTCTTTTAGGTCATGTGAATGAAGTAGATCAAGTTAAGAGCAGAAGTGAGCAACGTTTTCCTCTTCCAGGAGAACCTATTTGTGTAGTTTGTGGTAGATATGGAGAATATATATGTGATAAGGTGGGATAAATGAACTTTATAATTCATATTTTACCACCTCATGCCCTTGATTGTTGCTAGGAATCTCTCTAACTTTGTATCCAATGTGTGTCTGCATTTGTAGACTGGTGATGACATTTGCAGCATGGAGTGTAAATTTGATCTTTTGCAAAGCCTAGAAGTAACTGAGGTTCTCACGCCCTTTCAGTTTTCTCACAATAACAAAGGATGTTTCTGTTTTTACTGTTTTCAATTTATTAACTCTGTATCATTGATTGTATTTTCAGAAATCCTTGAGCAACCAAAATTCGTTGCTCTCATCATCTGAACTGACATCTATCTCTCTGCTGCCTGAACTTGCGGAGGACACTTGGGATTACGACAACCATCGCTGGTCGAAAAAGAGATCTAGTCTTTGTACCTACAAATGGTATATTTTCTTATTTAAGCATCTTATTTATGAATGCATTTTTTTTTTTTGAAAGGCATTTATGAATACATTTATAAATAGATTTCTTTGGGCATGAAATAGCACCATAGGTATTTCTATGTTATGTGAATGTAGTTTCTGCTATTTAGCTGTGATTACCATTGAGTCTAATATGAATGCTTTTGGTTTTAGTTGGAAATGCCAGAGGCCTGGACACCTTGCTGAAGATTGCTTGGTCACCACAACTGAGCAGGTTTGTTATTATTTGCTTTCTCATAAAGTTATAAGTGCTTTGAATTCTTGGGTCCTTTAAATATATGTGCTGTTAAAACAAGTTGTTTTGCTTGCTGAAGTTTTCTTTATATGTAGGTGACCATGAGGCAGAGCAAGCTCACTTCCATATCCAGAGATCTTCTTGAACTGTACAGAAGGTTTGTAAGACACAATTTTTGGTATGACTGCATTTGGTAAAGCCTGTGCGCTAATCTGGGATTGTTGAGGTTCAATTTTTACTGACTAAAAGAGCTAGATTTGCTCCATTCGTTATTTACTTTGTTTATATTTGAATGTTTTCTTGCTCTATGTTACTTCATGACAAAGAAAGGAACATCCTTGCTATGTTTGAAGTTGCAATAACTTGCATTCTAGAGTGAGCTTAGTTCTTGTTTTTGCTTCTCTTCCTATGCAGATGCCATCAGATAGGGAAAAACTTATCGAGTGCAAGCTGTAATGCATGCTGCAGCTCAATAGGTCTAGCAACATGTCTTGATTGCAGCACTGTCCTTTGCGACAAGTAAGCATTTCACATTTTCAAACTGCTAAATTCAAATTGTTATATTTTGTCCTCTGCACATCTTGTGAAGAAAACGGGAAATTTATGATCTTTCGTCTTGGATATCCCAAAACACAGTGCAGGTCATTTGAATGAACATATCCAGACCCATCCATCCCATCAACAGTATTACTCACATAAACTTAAGCGACTGGTGAGAATTTACTATTCCTTTCCATGCACTTTATTTTTGTTTAAGAATACCGCTGTATCAATTGGGATGTATTTCATGACAATAATGTGAAACATGTAATTAATATAGGTGAAATGCTGTAAGTCCACGTGCAAGGTGACCAACATTAGGGATCTTTTGCTTTGCCACTACTGCTTTGATAAGGCCTTTGACAAGTTCTATGATATGTATACTGCAACCTGGTATGTTATCTATACTACTTCATCTGTTCTTTAACTTTTAATATATTATAGAATTTCATAGCCCATTATAATTTACTTTGTAACTGATCAAATGTGCTCGTCCTTGCTGACTGTAGGAAAGAAGCTGGGCTTTCGATCATTTGGGGTTCCATTTGCTGTGATGATCACTTTATGTGGTATGTCTTGTAAAGTCATTGACATTCTTTGCTGCTCCTTTTCTATACACAAACATTATGGCCTGTTGATGCTGCTGCAGGCATAGGATGAACTGCTTAAATGCAGATGTGGAAGACCGAGCATATATAATCAGTGGAGACACAGAACGAGAGACACATGTTCAGCTCAGTGACTTCATTTTCTAACATGGTAGTGGAGGCAAATAGCTTGCTGGTGGGTTCTTCCGTGATCCAGTATTTATGGGATCATAATTCTTCGAAATGGCATTGCGTTTAGCTTGCCTATAAAGCTGCACATAATCTGTTTCATTCAAGTTTTAAGGTCTTGAATATCTAAAAATAAAAATAAGAGGTCTTTATTTATTTTCTATGAATCGGTTTTGGCAATTCAAAGCAAAAAAATTGAAAAAAAAAAGATTTCCTTTTTCCTTTCAATTTGTTATGGGCCCCGGACAAAGTTAATCTGTCCCATTTGTCTTAATCTACCCAACCCTGGCGCTACGCAGGCCAGGCCCATCTCTAGCCGGGCAGCTCACACAGAACATATTCTCTTTGAAACGACGATTGCGTCCTCGTTTTAGTGGGGAACCGGTAAGGCGGCGAAGTTAGAATAAATTAATAACGCCCCTTTCGGTCGAATTTATTTACACTCCAAAACAATAAGCAAATCCAGGTTTTCTTGTGTTTTCACGTTCAACTCTGTTTCGTGAATTGGATTCCTCAGTTTCGATCGATTGGCCAAAGCAAGGAGATCTCGTCTCAAGTGTGTTAAGTTGCAGAAAAGGTAAGCACTATTTTTATCTTATTCTTGGAATTTGTTGATCGATGATTTTCTTCTTTGTTCGATATTTGAACCTTTGTAGAATTATTAAACCAAGGCAATGAATAGGGTATAATTGTAGCGCCAATAAATAATTAAAACCCTAATTTACAATCTGATATCTCTTCTATTGAAATTCAATTTGCTTCATAACCCGATTGCATTCTAATCTGAAATTCCTGTTCCTCAACGATTTGCCTTTTCGCAAATTATCGAGTTTTCAAACCTAATTTCAGTTTCCCAATTAGGTGGAGCCGCCGAAAGCTTTATGGTGACCCCAAATTTCAATTTTGAAATACTAAAATGTACGCATGATAATTTTCAGGTGAATTCTAGAATTGAGTAGCTATGGGAGGTCATGGAGGGTTAAATATTTTGCCCCAGAAACGTTGGAATGTTTATAACTTTGAGAACAGAGAGAAAGTCCGGAAGGATGAAGAAGCTGCTGCAAAGGAAGAGCAGCTAAAGCGTGAGCAGGCAAGAAAAAGGGATGCTGAGTTCCGTCTTGAGCAGCTTCGGGCTGCTCGTGGCTTGGCTCCATTAACTAAAGCTGGAGGTGCAGAGCCTGCTTCTGGGCCTGTGGAGGTTGTTGAATCGGAATCCAAATCTGGTCACATTAATCTCTTTGAAGGGATCAAGATTTTTGACCCCATTAAAGGCTTGGAGAAGGAAGGAGCTGCTGAAAAAGATGGGTTCAAGAGGAAGAAATTGAAGAAAGAGGAGGTGGCACCCAAGCCTGTGGCGCCAGAGGATGAGAAGTATAGGTTGGGTTATGGGATTGCTGGAAAGGGAGTTAAGTTGCCATGGTACCTGGAGAGGCGGAATGTTGATGTTGAAGAGGAGAGTGAAAATGATAGATCAGAAAGAGTGGAGAAGGATGAGGGGAGGAAAACTGGGAGGAAGACGATAGAAGAGTTGAGGGAAGAACGTTTGAAGAGGGAGAGGCGGGAGAAGGAGAGGCAACGGGCATTGCTAATAGAGAAGAGCAAAACAGATAGGAGTAGGACCCTGAAGGATAGAAGGCTTTCCACGAGGTGAGCTCAGAGAAGCCAAAGCTTATTCTGAGTTTGACGTTTGTATATTCCTATCGTAGACTTGTTTGAATTTATGGGGCTATCAGTCCTTTCGGTATTTGTAAGACTAGAATCCATTTTGAATTTCGTCAATATTTGATTTCACAGAATATTTCATAAGAGCTACTCTTTGATGCTTATATCTGAGAATGTATGTATCATTTTTTCATCAAATTACAATGTTGAGAAAATGTGGCTTGATCCAATTGTTTCCTCGTGCTAATATGTCAACTGAAAAATGCTGGCGATTTCCATCCGCCTTGCTCCAATATTGTGGTGTTTCTTTCTGTACCCCAGCGTGCTTCAAACATCTTTAGAAGCAGGTTTGCAGTATCATTGGTAGAATTTGTTCTTCATTCATAGTTAACCATTGATTATATCCGTATCCAGGCAAATCAGTGAGCTCTCAATTTTATTAGGTGACTCACGGTCTTTCTTAGGCTTATACCAGGAGCTTTGCATCTTTAGTTCCCTTCTTCCCTACCCATCTTTTTATAGTATTGGATTTCTATTCACCTTTGAAATTTTTGAAAATTTGATAACGTACTTGGATTGCATTCCTATGTACTTCATTTACGCGTTCATAAACCAAGACCCACTAACTGAACATACTTATTAAAATGCTATTCCTACTGAGATCTTGCTTGTAAATATTGTGGATATTAGCATCATCTTTAGATTTAATTCAAGCCTCCATCAAGAAGCAAGAAATCTAAACTCGTGATTAGATGATGATATGTATGTCCTTGACTTTATATCTAGTACCCTGCAAGCATGAGCAAAGTATAATACATATCTAGGTGTATTTGCCAAAATAATGTGCGAATTCACTCTGTCAGGGTTCCATTCTATACCTAAAGTTCGTTGAACGAGCCCTCTCAATACTGACCTGATCCAATAACAAAGATTCAAGTCTAAATATCTTTATTTATTCTGTTGTTTATATTAAAATTGGGATTAGCCTTGGTCCCCATCTCCCTGTTCCTGGTACAAAGCTAGAGACAAAGTCGTCCAGTAAGCTTTCAGAATTTCTGTATTGGAGTGTTCTGCTTACTGCCCAATAGATTAAAGTATCAATTTGTCCATTCCCCTTTTTGAACTTTTGTGCTGTTCAATTAGATCAACAAATTTAACTAATTGTAGTCCAGAGTTTAATCTTATCTGTCACAGCAAAACAAAGACTTTAATGTCTTTTTTTTTTCTTTTTGTAATTATATACAACTGTATAAATGCAGGGAAGAATTAGAGTGAGTGTTGATGAGAACATGAAGGGCACAATCATACAAGTTTGGTGGCCATAACATGCCAAATCTGCCAAGCCAATTCGCTTAAGAAAAACAATATGCTCCTGCCAAGAAATTCGAATTAGAGTTTTAGGGGTAGGGTAGTTAAACTTCCATGAGGAAGAGTGCCTGGAAATATTATCTCAAGTCATAATGCTGACGGGTTTGAAGTTGAACTCATTTTCTTAATACCAACTTCATATTTTTATAATGCTTGCATACATCAGTTCTTCTGAAGCTAAATACAAGTCGTAAAAATTGTAAGAAAGACTTGGTAGAGGAGAGTTCATTTGCATTGATAAAGAGGAATAAGCAAATCATCATCAGTTTAAAGAAGCAGAGCACAGCATTGACTTTAATGGTTGCATCAAATAAGCACAGTCTGTTGCATTACGAAGATCTGACGCTCCCTTCGGTAGGTTTTCTGGCTCACCTCTCTTCATAGAAAGTTCGTAGCCATGGATTTCTCGCTCACCTTCATCATTCCCCACATTTTAGTTTCTTGTTATCTTGCTTTACCTTATTTCTCTACTTTTGGAACGATATTTTTGGTTTTCTTGATTTGATTAATCTAGGCAGATTTCTGCAACCTGATGCTTCATCCATGATTATGATGTTTCTAAACTGAAATTTTATATCAAAGACCTTCCTCTTGACAGCCTCTGTAAAAGAACATGAAAATGGCTGATTTCCATATGGGATTGGCCCAAATTCCAAAACGTGTACATTCAAAGGTTTACTCTTTTAATCCCCATTTAGATTGCAAAAGGTGTGAATTGCACATGCAGCAGTCACTGTTTAATTCAATTATTCAGGGATTACATTGTTTAATATTCAGTTTCAGGTTATAGTGATGACTGCAAACATGGGCTGTGCTCAATGTCGAAAGAAAGTCTCCCAAGTTATATCTAAAATGACTGGTAGGAACTTTGATGGTAAACTTCATATCATATCATTCTAAGCTACTCCCCTGAAATTGGATAAGTCCCAAAATATTTGCAAAACCCCTCAAGTCAAACTGTGGACAATTGGTTTCAAAAGAACAGTAATTTCTTTTCTCATCCTTCTCCCATCTTATCCTAATTTGGTGTAACAAACTCAGTCATATGATTCATTTGCTTTGATGAGCAAAGGAAATTAAACTTTTTATAATTTTCAGGATTGAGAGAGTACATGGTAGATGTAAGCAATAAACAAGTGATTGTGAAGGCAGACTTTGGGTTTCGTTGGAATGTGAAAGACCATCTTTCCAAGAGTGAGAAGAGAAAGGATTGGCATTCACTACAGCTATTCAAAAGTTGCTTCGGCCCAATTTGTTTTAGCAGTAAACAAATAGTAACCGATTGAGGCTGTCAAGCTGAAATTCCTTTTATGTTGTCCTGTGTTTGGGGACTGACCATTAATGTATGACCAATGTTTTAAGGTACGTGGTGTAATTCCTTTGCATCTTATTTCCATTTTTATCATCTCCAATCGCTTCAGGTTTCAGATCTTTCCCTTTTTCTATGGATGAAAACCCTCTAAACTCTTGGCTAAGAACATGATAACTCCGAGTTGCCACGAGATTCAAAACCCATAGTGTTTTCATTCATGCATCAGGCAAAGACTTAAGAGTATAATCCGAATCATAGATGATTATTTTACAGAGAAACGAACACAACCATAAGTATGGATATCAAGTACTTTGAGGAAGTCAAAGAAACAGAAAAGCTAATTCCTTCCATTATATCCAAAAGAAAAATGAGGGAACACATTAACCTCATATCACACTTTAAAAACTATGTTAATGATTTTTGACGAGAAAAAGAAACAGTCAATAATACGTAATTATTGACCTTTTCTCTTGGATAATTAATTAGCGATGCATCGGGCCACTGGCTCTCATCCCAAGCAGAGCAGCGAGGACCAAAAATGTGTAAAGCCCAAGATCAGCAGTCCCCCTATTTCCAGCTTGTACGACTGCCACAATCTCACCTACTATAATCTTCATTATGTTTGAATTGAGGCAAAAATTTTTGAATTGATTACAATCATTTCAAATAATTAAATTGTGAAATTATAGCCAAATGGTACGGCATGATCATCATGTATTTCGCAAAGCAATGTAGATATGAACAAAATTCGATAATGTTATCGCCACGAATCATTGAAGGAGTTTTGTATAGACCATTTAAACTATCTCTACTGCACAGAATCTAAACTTATCAACATACAATCGATTCTGCATGATCATCAAATGTGAAATATGTCTCACATCACCAAAAGCAATAGAAAACTAAATTCTGTGTTCAAGGCCAAGTTTAATGCCAAAACCATAGAATGTAAGTAAATTCCAGAAAACAGATTGAAGCTAATAATAAGGTACTAAAAAAGGTTACCATATGATATCTAAAGGCCAGAAATTAATTCTGAAAAGTAGATTAAATTGGTGGGATGATAATACGGAGAACTCCATCCTTCATAGTGTACTCGAGTTTGGAGGGCATAATCCTCTTGGTGGGGAGGACAGGAACTATGCTGCCAAGGTAGGTTCGACCACTCTCGTCGTGCTCGGAAACCTTGTAGCCAGTGCCTATGAAGCGGATCTCACCATCCTTGAAAAAAGCATTAGCATCTTCCGGGGAAACCCCTGGCATGTCCACCCTCGCAAATAGACCACCCTTCTTGCTCGCCTTGCCTTCAAAGGCGCCTTTCTGTCCCCGCACAACAAAAGGGTTTGGCTCTATCACCGGGCCTGTTCCACCTGCAAAAACATTCAAACCAATATATGTCAAACGATAAAAGGAAATTAAGCAGAAAAAGTATTAAGAAAAAATTTTGCTCTAGGAAGTCTCTGAACCATAAGCTGGAAAGAGCTAAACAAGCTGGTGTGAATGAAGTAGCAGAAACAATGAGAAAAGTTGCAAATAATTCTATCTTTTACGAACAAAGAAACAGATTATTAAATGTTACAGGATCATTGAACAAAACCCACAAGAAAAGAAGACCAGTCTCGAAAAGAAAACAAAGAAAAAGAACAAGAATGAATGAAATACCTTGAGGTCCAGCTGTAAGAAAACATCAACAAAATGAAATGTTAGAAAACCTACATACCATTACAAAGGAAAAACATCGAAGGATGAAATAAGGAAAAGCGGAAAAGAAAAGGAAAGAAATGTGTTTAGAGACCTGCAGATTGAGAAGCAGCTGCAAAACAAGAACAATAATAACTCAGTAAGTGTTCAAAAAAACCCAAAAAATGGGGGAAAAAAAGCAAAAAGGAAAAGAAAAGAAAACCGTGATAAGCGAGAAGCTTGCAAGAATACAGTATCACATAGAAAGACTCATGATTCCGTACCTTCTTGAAGTATAGCTGTGATAAAACATCAAGAAACCCAAAGATTAGCCAACAGTTAAAAAAGGAAAAAAAAAATGCAACTAAGAAAAGCAAGGTGAAAATAGATATACTTGAAGATAGACTTGGTCTCTCAGCAGAACATGCGGCATCCCCCTGGATCTTCTTAACCTTTGAAAGAACCATTCTGAGCACACCATCTTTCATTGTAGCATTAATCCCAGAGATCTCACAGCAATTGCAAATAAGACCCGTGATGCCAAAATAGGTGCGGCTACCTTGCTCATGCTCACTGTCTTTTGGTGCTTCTCCACTGAAGAAGACTACCTTCTTCTGAGGATCAGTAAAGAATGAAACAGCATTGCTTGCGACCCCAGGCAAATCAACCCTCACGTACAAATCTTGGTTCTCCAGTGCCTTGAACTCAATGAACCCTTTTGGCCCACTGTTTTGAAACTGGTTGTTCTTTGCATAATACCCATCTGTTTTACACCAAAAACAAGAAACAAAGCAACATATAGTTTACACAAGAAAAAATAAAATCAGATTTGACTAAAAACAAAAAAGGGCAAAGCATTGCATGAAAATGGAATCTGGAATTCTTAAAGATGACCTTCAGTGTGAGGTGTATAACCGAGAATGACTTCTGGTGCTGCCATGGAAACTTTGAAATGTAAATGGAGAAAGGTCAAGAGGGTTTATCTTTTCTTCTTTTAGCTAGTAGTATTAGGGTTTTAGGAGATTTTGTCACTCTTGCTGTGGCAGTGAGGTTTTTGTCAGGAGACGTTACATGAGAGAGGCTTAAAACCAGAATGGCGAAAGAGACGGATATAAAGGTGAACTGCAACGTGTCACCTCAGGGCTGGTATCCCTTGGAAATTGGTTTTTCGACAGCTGGAGCCTGGAATCTGTGAACCGATGTTTGCAGTCTCGCGATCCTTAATCTACGAGCTCTGCTCCAACGTCTGATGAGATGATGATCACTCTGGATCCTTGTTGTCCTGTGATTCATGAAGGTCTTAGAAGCATTGCAAACTAACGTGAGGAGCATTCTCGCGGGACGCACCAGATTTCATTAATTTGTCTATTAACAAATTAATATTAATTAAGGTCATTTATCTATTTTAACGAGTTAATATTAATGTAGTGTCTGTTCTTTTGTGTAAATATTTATGTAGTATTTAGACTTTAGAGTCATTTGTTTCAATTCTCAATTCTTTGTTTAGCTAATAGCAGGAAAAAAAACTTATGACTGTTTCTTCATATCCTACTATTCTCTACGTGACAAGTTTCAGACTGAATGGATTGTCACCAAGTCCTGGATTCAGATGTCAAAAAGCATTGCCCTTCTAGTCTTTTGACAAATGCCAATGGTGATCATTAATTGTGATTGAAGCCCTAACCAGGTCTGCCATAGATGATTTCTAAGCAGTAGTTAGTAGAAACAGTGTATCTGGATCATCAACAAAATCACTTATCAAGCCTGATCTCATTTTTAGCCTTCTTCCTCCCCTCTGACTCTTTCTTTGGGATCAACATCCTGAAAACACCGTTTTGAATACTGGCCTTGATTTTGCTCAAGTCAAAGTAATTAGAGCAAACATCGATGCTTCCGCTGCTCTCATTCTCCGATTTCTTTCTAAAACCCTGTCGTCCTTTGACTTGAGCTGAACCCTGTCGTCGTCCTTCCAAAGCTGAACCTCGCTTTTACTGATCCCCGGCATGTCAACCCTCACGAACATTCCTTCCTCAACTTTCTTGGCTTGGTACGTTCCTTTTGGTCCTTCTAGTTGCTATGGATGCTCCACTATTTGATCGGCTGCTCCTTCAAAAGCAAAACCCACCAAGAGGAATAAACATGTAAAAAGGAAAAACAAAAGAAAACCCATGAAAGATTGATAAAGAAAAAGTTACAGAAAAGGAATCATGATGATGATGATGACACTACCATGGCGAATGTTGAATTCAACAGTGCGCTTCATTGAGCCCCCATATGTGTTGACAGAGCAGAGTTCTTCATCAGGATCAGACACGGGAATGTTGGAGCTAAACGAACGAACCACCAATGAAGCAGCCATAGAAGGGATGTTGCGATTTACTAGTAGAATTTAAAACAAGGGTGAACGAGATAGTCTTCTCAGGGCCATTGTTGAGGAGCAGCGGCAAATTAGATTTTTGGCCTTTACAAGGGGGTAACTTCGGTACGCAGTAGGGATCCGTTTGGCAAGAGAGTGGTGGCAATTTGGACAACAGCTTTATTTTTGCACGTAACGGGCGGGGCTAATCAGTGGATAAGTTCAATTTTTGGGCTAATTGTGAATAAAGGACTACAGAATCAAACTTTAACTTGGGCAGCCAAAAAAAAATTAATTGATCATCCGAAGGCATAATCTTTTACTTGGCTGACAAGATTGACATGCCATCAGACATCGCTCAAGAGTCGAGGCTTAATCCCCCGGGGCCCAACCCAGCCCCCCCGCCTAAGCTATTAATGCCCTCATTATAATTAAAATGGGTTCACCTAGTATATGATATTAAGAATTGAGAGGAGAATTTGAAAGAGTTAATCACCAAAAAAGAGCTACGCTTAGCACTTGGCAGCAGCAGCAGCAGCTGAAAAAGACACCCACGAGAAATCCGATCCTTGCCTTCACTTCTCATAGAAGACACGCAAGTTTATTAGTAGTAGAAAAGATGTTTTACTTTAATTTTGTTCATCATATAAAACTTACCTTCTTTTCATATGTTAACATCATTAAGTCCTAAGATTACATTACATATGTTACATTTCAAACTAAACAAGTCCACCTAGTCCTCACTTCCATTACCTTTACCAAGAAGAAACCTCATAAGTTGTGAATATCACTCAACCGTGACCTGATACACATCAGTCCTCTCCTCCTCTTTCACCTTAGGCACAACCACCTTCAGGACCCCATGTTTCATCTCGGCCTTTATCTCATCAACCTTATACATACTGGGAGGGAGGTCAAGCCTGCTTGAGTAGGGCCTCCCACTCTCCTGACCATCCTCCGACTCTTTATCGCCTTCTCCTCGGATGATCAGAGTGTTCTGATCCCGCGAAATGTTAACGTTCTCCTTGCTAAGGCCTGGCATTTCAATGCGAAGATAGAGAGCATTATTGTCCTCCCTCACGCCCCAGCCTTTCCTTGAGGACACGCTGGGAGATGAGAGGAAAGGGTGGTCCATGAATTGATCCATAAGGTTCAGAACCTGGCTCAGGCTTCTTGTTGGAGAAAACGGATCGAATACGTCTGCACCGCCAAAAAATATCAGCAGATTAGTCTTGCATTATTAAAAGTATCAAACTTCACAATTTAAAAGCATTTCCCCTGCTTTGAATATGAAAATTGAAAGACAAAAAACGACCAAAACTGTTTTAAAGATCCAAGAATCAAGATATTTCCAACAATTTACATTACATTGTGCTAAACCCTTATAAGAATTATATATATATATATACACAGAGTAATAAAAACAGAGAAATTTAAAATAATACTTGTAAATTCTATATCAGTATGCAAATCTGTAAATAAATTCAACATTTGAAGTGCAATTGATCATTCATTTATTATTATTATTTTATTATTATTATTATTATTATTATTATTATTTTATATAGAGTCTATACTCTGAAGAAACGGCCTTCGGAATCTCACCAGTGGTAACAAATTTTCAACTTTTGAAAAATAAAAGAAATCTCACTTACAAATGTAAAGACAGAAACAGAATAGAAAAGAATTCAACTTCAAGCAATCAAATATCATATTTCTAAGGTAATAGAGAAAAAAAAAAAAACTTTGTTCACAGAAGTTATATCACTTTCAACAGACACGAAAGGAAGTGAAACAGGGTACTAAGAAAACAACTACCAGAGTAGAAACCGGGAGAGTAATAGCGGCGGCTAGAGACGGAGCGATCAGAGCGGTGCTCAACGTCGACCGAGCGGTCCTCGTCGTTGAAGTTGGTGACCTGAGTGTTGGTGTTGAAAGAGCGCGAGACGGAGGGAGTAGCCGCTGAAACGGTACGTACTGGGGAAAGATTCACCAGCTTTGAAAACAGAGTCGAGACTGGAACTCTTCTTAAAGCAATCGACGATGCCATTTCTTGTAAAACAGTGAAACTTTGAGCTCTTTTAGCAGATTTCTTTTGTTTCGAATTTTGATAGTTTTTTTTTCTTTTTCTTTTTTTGAGGATTTGGGTTTTCTTGGTGCTGATATAGGAGAGAAGAAATGGTAGAAATGAAGAAACGTGGAGAGCGGAAAAGGACAGAGGGTGGCAAAGGTGAGCTTCCCAGCGGTGGGAGAAAATTCCGGAATGTTGGAGAAATCTATGTGCTTAATTAATTGGCAATAATTAAAGCTCGTTTAATTTAAGTTTACCTTAAAATAGGAATTGCCATCTCCTCATAACTTTTCCCGATATTAAAATTCGTAACCCAATCAGCACAAGGCACGACAGCTAAGCTGGTAATGCGGTAAACCTGTAAAAGGTTAGAAGCGAACTCATATGTGCGGTAAAAAAACAAAAAGGACCAGTTGAGTCTTGATTTTATGTGAACAAAGCTGTGTAGAGTCATTAACAGTTTCTGGTATTACCATTATCGAGTCTCTCCAATTGAACCCTAAAAGAAAGATGGGGTGAAAAAAAGGAAGAAGCTGACACGTTCACTCCTTTTAAGTTAAAAAAAGAATGCATGTTAATAAAAGTGCCACTAGCAACTAGAGATCCACCCTTAAACAAGTTTTTTTGCTAATTCCACAAAGCTAAACAATTAACAGAAGCACCGGCCCAAACCCATCAATTTTTTCTCGCCTTTTCCTTCACCAACTTCTCCAGACGAAGGAAAGCAGAGGAAAAATATATGGAAGAGGATAGGACACAGTTGCTTATGACTTCTTCATGAGATATCCCATAATTATGCCAAGCAAGCCGACGAAGATGACAAACATGAATGACACACCACCACTGCTTTTGCTGCCTTGGCGCCTCAAGAGTTCCTACACATTTGTAGTCTTTACATGTAAGAAGCTTCCAGGGCCCAGAGATTGAAAGAAAAGAATAGACAGTGGGGAGACAGGTAAATCAAAAGCACATATATATCAGTGACAGACAAAATATTTCTCAGTTTCCTACTGCATCTCATGGGCACCAAGTAAAAGGTAGTCACTAGAAAGAAGATGGCATCTGTTTTGTGAAATAGGGGAAGAGTAGGTTTCATGCTGAGGTCTGAGACGTAAAAGCAAAACAAAATTATACACGATTTAAGAAGAAAACAAGGAAAAGAGATTAATGTTGACTCAAAAATTTCAATGACTTAAAAGCAATTATAAAGAGAGGATAAGCCTTCAAAACATAAAGGGTTAATGAATTTACTGGCTTGGTCATTTGCAGCAAAAGTAAAGGGCAGGGGAAAATATCAAAATAACCATGTCAAGCAAAATCCAAAGAGCTCATTATTGTATATATATGCAAGCATCATTTGAGAAGAAACTGAGGAAGGGTAGAACAGATGATACTACTCTACATGTTATAATAACAATAATTATAATCCACAAGGTAAAGTCAATCTATCCGCCTCACCAGTTCCTGGCGTAGCTTGTTATTTTGTTGAATTGCATTATTTTTTTCCTCAGTCAGCTTTGATATAAGAGCTCTTGCCTGCAATTATAGAAAGTATTATTGAGAGTTATTATACTTGCCATGCATCAATATCACATGCAACGCGTGTCAATGATAAACAGAGCTGCAGCCCTCACTGCTGCAAAAAGCTGGCTGTATATGCACATGAACAAGGAGTAAAGACTGCCAGAAGCGTTCAAAGGAAAACAGCAGTTTCCTCCTGAGTGCAAACATATCTTAATTGACACTGAATTTGGTGAAGCCAACTTGCATAGGAGACAAATTTGTCATACATACCTTTCGACATAGACTCTCCCTTTCCCTAACTTATGGAATATTAGTCTCACCATAAAAATGACAAATTAATAGTAGATGGAGTTGTGGGTACCATTGTGCAGTGATTCTTTTTTAGGTCTTTAAGAAAGGCAATAGCAATATAAGGTCAGCATATGATTACTTACCGGTGGGCTTCTTTTTGGCCATTAATTAAGCTAATCAAGATAAACTATTCCTAATGCTACATGAAGCAACCTCCGTTAAAAATAAAAGTCATCTCACCCAATTTTCCATCATCGTGGCACCATGCGAATGATGACATTCTAAATCTAACAAAACCATGCCAGTATTCAATTAATTTTCACTCATCTCATAGATTAGCTATTGTCACATCATCAAACAAGTATAACATGCCAACATCACGGTATGGGCTGGTTGACTTTATGTTGAATCCTACACCCTCAGTCAACCAAAGCAAGCTCAAATGACGTGACTGCTTCAATTGGCTCCAGTACACCCAAAAGTCTTTAAATAGCGGAATGCTCCCCTGATTGATGAGGTACCTATCTTAAGACAAATGTGGAGCCCTATGGACCAATGAATCACAGCTTTAGACTCACAAACTCAGCAAGATATCTAGTAGCTCTACAGATTTTTGTCTGACCAATTAGAACTAAAATTTTCTAAAGCAATATAATTAGACTCTAAATCATCCTTTTACCCCCAGCATTCAATTAATGGAAGAGCAACTGAGCAAGTTAGTGCAGACATCTTTTCTGAAAATATGGACCTTGCTATGTCCAGACTCCAACCAAAATAAATGACTAACATCAATATATAGTAAACTCAATCATGCATATGCAACAGCACACAGTGAAAAAGAATATAAAGAAGTCAAATTTTACCTCAGAAGATTTATCTTGAGATTCAAGCTGCTCAGAAAATGCTCTTGCAGCCTTGCATTCAGCAACAAACACTACTATTAGCATTTGAAGCAATAAAGAACAGGGAACAAGAGAAGAAATAACGAAAACACTTGCAGCAAAGTTCTCACATTAGCAAACTCAGCAGCATTTACATGCCCGTTGTCTGAAACAGAACCTCTTGGTGATGACCCTTCTTCTGACCCTTCTGGAACAGGTGAAGGAGGTTGAGGTGGAGAAACATAAACCACTCTCAACTTGCACTCCTCAACCACATGCCCAGCTTCCTTGTTAAACTAGAAATGAAGATTCCCATAAATCATTAACTGCACATCTTAACCATCAAAATAGTAGATAATACCAGGTAACATAAACAGTTAGATACCATTTCCGCAGTTATATCCTTCACGGTTGCACCATCATTTACTTTTACACTCTGAAGGAGAAATTTGTCCTTGCATTGCGGATCAGGTGGTGCCTCTTTTTGCGCTTGCATGGTAACTAAATCAAAACCAACGATTCCTTTAGAAATTATCCCAAAACCAACATTAAATAAGACATAAACCGGAAGTAAATAGATCTAGTGTACCTATAACATCGCATGTGGATCGAGGCAAGACGATGCCCGTGTTGGGACGAACACAGTACTTCTTTGGATTTGTTGTTTTCACCTGAAAACGAATCAATTAGGCCAAAGAAAATCAACAATTTCTATTTAAGATTTAAACATTAAGATTCAATATAACGTATTGCTTTCTTTTCAGGTTCAAAATATTTTTGTTAATTCTGCATTCCTGATTTTACTCTGCAACCAAACACAGCATTACGGCGTCGCATTACCAAAAAGAGCAGGGAAATTATGATAAACAATATATAAAAAATACAAAGTAAATATAACAACATTGATTGAAAAATTCGAAATTGATGAAGAATACCTTGAAAGCAACATAATTATCAGTTTTATTCGACAATAGAAGAGAACACGAGATCTGCTTCCTCAGCTCAACTATTTACCAAAACCACAACAACAAACAAATCAAAACAAACCCTAGATAAACAGAAGCCGCAGATCCGCGAGAAAATGGGAAGAAAAAGAAACTTACAAGGAAACTTGAGCTCCAGCGGTTCAATGCTGAGAAGGTCGCCCGTGCTCATTTCGAAGCAATGGCTTTAACGATGTAAAACCTAGGAATCGCTTTCGAAGGATCTGAAGGGTAAGAGGAATGAGTTGGTAATTTCCCCTTTTGGGAAACGTGCGTTAATTTTTCAAAAACAAGATTTGGGGGGGGGGGGGGGGGGAGATCGAGAGAAAAAAAAAAAAACCACAATGATGCCTTTTGGCGTTTCTTTCTGTGCAATTGTAATATTTGTATGCTTTCTAGATTTATTTTCCAAAAGAGAGAGAGAAAGAGGGAAAATAGCGAACGTGCGAGGAAGAAGAAAGGAATGGTGAACGTGCGTCGAAGAAGAAAAGGGTGCAAAAGGAATCTGATCTCTGTCTCTAATCTCTCACCTTGTTTATGGAATCCGCCCACTCCTGACTCGATTGTGTAAAACAATATAAGAGGGAAAGGAAAGCACTGCCCCTCCTTTTTAGCATTATTAATTGCTTTAATTATTTATTTTCTTCTAATATTTTTTTTTTACTTTTAGTTTGTAATAAATTATTTGGAGAGTGAATTCCTGCCAATTAACAGTGCTTTACATTTGTGAATTACACAGCCGTTAACGTCATTTTCCATGAACCTAACAGAAATCTTAAGAATTAGGCAAGTTGCTTTTAAACTTACGGTGGATTTGAAATTGGATGGAGTTAGGCTTAAAAGGGTTTTAGGTCTGCACATAAATGTGGGAAAACAAACAAAAAACTTTATAAGAAGGAAATTAGGGAATTACCGGCAAAAAGTTTTCCTGTGAAACTTATCTTCCTTTCCTTTTTTTCTCATCCTGTCCGAGATTCAACTGAAAATCTTGGAATGTGATTGGTGGGTGTGCGCTTTTATTATCAATATTAAAAGAGTTGGGCCAAAGATTTCTGAGTTCGGCCTTGAAAAGGCTACTGGTTTTAGCCTTTACAACAGCAAGGGTCCCCTAAGGCATGATAAGGCCCTTCGCAATTGTCCATAATTGCAGCTTTCTCAGGCAACCTGTGTCACATCTTCATTGTCATCCCTAGCTAGATGCTGCCCAATCTTCCCAGCAGAGGGTTTTGGTGTGTGATTTCACTTTTTTATCTTTTTAAATGCTACGTCCCAATCAATTTTTAGATTGAATTCAACACTATGTGGCTGAAAATAAAGAAAGTAAACTGTTTTGTACTTGGAGCTGGAATGTAAAAGGCCTCCATATTTGGTGGAAGAAAGTTAGAAGAGATCATTGCAACTTCCACCAACCTTCAAATGGACCAGCTTCCATTTCAGTAATCATATGGGTGACCTCAAAGGTAGCTGTATCTAATCACCAATGGGGACCTAAAAGAACTCATTTTGAGTTCAATTATTAGATTTTAGTTCCTCTTGGTTGGAAGGCAATGATTCCAACCATCCCTAAGTTCTACTTTCGCAGACTAATGGCATTGCGATGGGTGGTGTCTCACAGCCCAAGGTTCATATCTTAAACTTCTCAACTATGGCCATGATAATGGGGAAAATTTTGAAAAAGAATTAAGTCATCTGCTTGCTTGACTTCCGAAACAGGAAACA